TGGTTGCCCGCCTGCTGCCTTTAGACTATGGCCCCATGTTGAAACGCTTGATTTTCCCCTGCAAAGACACGAAAGCCGGGTCATTCGGTACTGGCCCTATATGAACAGTGATACCCCAGACAGCTATGCCATGGAGCCAATTTGTATACTTAAAGACTATGTGAAAGACTTTGGCTCAAAGGCAATTGAACTGTATGTATGTGATCCGAGCGCCATTCAGTAATAATGTGCGCTCAGATCTAAGCAATCTGGGGATATGTTGAATGTAGCTGTTTTACAGTTATATATTTTTATGTGTTTTATTGTCTTTTGCTGCCATGTGTTCAATGGAGTTTTGCCTCTGTCCTTGGAGATAATTGGATTACTTCCCAATTATCTCCATGATAGAAGACTCTGTGGAACTGGTTTTGGGCAGAAAAGCCATGCTTCATTTGGTCACAAAGGACTTCGATCTATCTTTTGAACCAATGGACCAATTTGGATAATTTTGACATATGTTTGTATTTGGAGTATGCTGATCTGAAAATGTGAATGTGATGTATACTTTTAAAGTTATGAATAATGTGGACAAACTGTATTTCTCTGCCTGTGATAATTACATTAACCCATTGTGTAAGGTAATTGTATCACAGGCAGAGGGGAGGATTTTGTGTGGGAGTGTCTGAGTGTATTGTACGTTTATTGGTTGTTTTACAAAACCCTGTGGGTGGTACTAATGTGTAAGAATGTGTATATAAGAACAATAAACCCACAGCTTTGTCTGTTCGTGCTTGACCCCCAAAACGTAGCCTTATCTCATTCTTGGGGGGAGATTTATTGTATGCTGTTCCAGTTTGACTGCTAGGAGTGTAAACCTATTCATTGTGTTTTTCCTATTCGGCTGTTTACAGCATTTGTATGGTTCCGGTTCAGCTGTTTATGGCATTCATATGCTTCTCCGGGTCGGTGGATTGGTGTCTAAAGTAGCTGCCTGTATATCTGGAAGGGAATATCTCCTAAACGGCTTTTAACCCCTTTTATGCCTGTCAGCCAGTTTCCTTCCCCCAAATCTCCATTAGATTCTTTTACAGGAGTTAGTTTAGGGATTACTGTTTTAGTCTGTTTTAGTAAAAAACAAAAATAAATATATATATATATATATATATATATTAAAAAAAATTGTGTTTAGTATTTTGTTAGTTTAGTCTGTTAGTGTGAAACATGCAGCACATTTACAGCTCGTAGGAGGCATATGCCTTCTTGGCGTCAGACTTTGACGCCACTGACACTGCGTCCGATTTTGACCCAGGTCAGTTTAGCGACACGTCTAGTGACATGTCATCTGTGTGTGAGCCAGCTGCTAAAAGAAGCTGTGCTTCCCCTGCTACACCGAATGTGGAGGAGGACTGGGTACCTCCACAGTCAGCTGAGCTCAACATCCCCCCTTTTAGTGCCAACGCAGGCATTAATGTGAATGTGGATGACTTCTCCCCTATACAATATATGGAGTTATTTTTAGGGGATACCATCTGGGAGGAGATTGTTTGCCAGACTAATTTATATGCTAGCCAATTTACTGAGACCAATCCAAGTAGCTCTACAGTCAGGGAGCATGCTTGGCATACCATAGATGTCCCTGAACTTAAGAAATTCTGGGCTCTTACAGTGCTCATGAGGATAATAAAGAAGCCATCAATCCGCTCTTACTGGAGCACCAACCCAATTTGTTTGACTCCTATATACTCCCAAACAATGCCTAGACCAAGATATGAGCTGCTGCTGAGATACTTACATTTTTCAACGACAGTACCCTCTGTCACCCCAGAGATCACCCCCAATATGATAGGCTTCATAAAATACGCCCACTGGTAGACCATCTTCAGAACAGATTTTCTGAAGTTTATACTCCCCAACAAAATTTATCTATTGATAAATCCCTTATGAAATATAAAGAGAGATTAGAGTTCAAACAGTATATCCCCTCAAAGCGGTCTAGGTATGGCATTAAGGTGTACAAACTGTGCGAGAGCGAAAGTGGCTACACATTTGCCTTTCGTGTATATGAGGGGAAAGATGGTCAACTGAACCCTCCTGGCTGTCCTGACTCTCTGGGGACAAGTGGGAAACTTGTTTGGTACCTACTGATCCCCTTGTTCAATAAGGGTTACCACCTTTATGTGGACATTTTTTACAGCAGTGTCCACTTATTTAAAATTCTTTATCATTTGCAGACACTGGCCTGTGGCACTGTAAGAAGAAATGCCAAGGATTTCCCCAGACCTCTCATAGAGGCGAACATAGGCGTGCGCTCGGGATGTCCTGGGTGTGCCTGGGCACACCCTAATCCCTGCGGCCCGCGTTATGTATCAAGGATCTCCCTCACCAGCCCACAGGCAGGGAGGGAGGCAGGAGAGGACCCTGGGAGCTCTAGCCAGCAGTGGCAACGCTCAGATCTCGCGAGAGTGAACTCTAGCCCCGCAGGAGATACCATCTGGGAGGAGATTGCTCCCCAGACTAATTTATATGCTACCCAATTTATTGATACCAATCCAGATAGCTATGCAATCAGGGAGGAGCATGCTTGGCATCCCACAGATGTTGCTGAACAATTCTCATGGGGATTATAAAGAAGCCATCAATTCGCTCTTACTGGAGCACCAACCCAATCTGTTCTAGTCCAGTGTACTCCCAAACCATGTCTAGAACAAGATATGAGCTGCTGCTAAGATACTTACATTTCAATGACAATACCCTCTGTCACCCCAGAGATCACACCCAATATGATAGGCTTTATAAAATACGCCCACTGGTAGACCATCTTCAGCACAAATTTAGTGAAATTTATACTCCCCAACAAAATGTATCTATTGATGAATCGTTAATGAAATATAAAGGGAGATTAGTATTCAAACAATACATCGTCTCAAAGCACTCTAGGTATGGTGTAAAATTCTACAAACTGTGCGAGAGCGAAAGTATAGTATAGTATGTATAGCCATACATTTGCCTTTCGTATATATGAGGGGAAAGATGGTCAACTGGACCCTCCTGGCTGTCCTGACTCTCTGTGGACAAGCGGGAAACTTGTTTGGGACCTACTGATCCTCTTGTTCAATAAACGTTATGGAGATGGCCAAGAGCCAGACATTTTATTTTTAAGATACCGCCAACTGCAAAAAACACAAATCCCCTGAAACGTTGCCGGGTCTGTTAGAAAAAGGGAAAAGGACAGACACCTTTACACCTTTACACAGTTTTTTTTTCTTTTGATAGCAGCAATTTTAGTTAGTCGGTTTCCTTCCCCCAAATCTCCAGTTAGATTCTTTTTGCAGTTAGTTTAGAGAATGCTGCTAAAGGTGCATTTGATACCTGCACATTTGGTTAAAGTTTTATGTCAGTAACATATAACTGGCTGGCCAAAACCAGATGACGTGTGCATAAAAAGCAGAATTAAAAAATTACCACCATGCACGTTCTCTGAAATTTGTTTAGCACAATGGTTGGGGGAAGGATGTGAAAACACCCCATATACAATACCTTGGAATGTCTACTTTATAAAAATATAAACTTTAATGAAGTTAACATTAACTGGGGGATGCAAAAATATGCCAAACTGAAGATAGGCCAAGCATACCTATATATCAGGTTGAAAAACTGATATTTACAAGTCTGGATCGTGGCCTTTTAGCCCCCAAACAACCCAGCAAACCTATGCATGGGTGATATCACTGTACTCAGGAGATGTTGCTGAACACATATTGGGTTGTTGTTTGGCAATGATACATAATAGGATTTGTTAATTCATGCCTAAAGTACAATGTGTGTGTAAACAAAACACATAAAAATGACTACCCAAAAGTTTGCCAAAGGCTGGTGGTAGAATTAGTGCATGAAAAGTGTTAAACTACCACCATTTAAAATACCCTGGGTTGTCTACTTTTCAAAAATATATGGTTTGATGGGGCAAAATACATTGGACAGGGGCGCAGGTTTACTACATGTCAAAATTCCAAGTTGGAAAATGGATATGGATATGTCAAAATATCTTTAGCTGAATACCCTGGGATCTCTACTTTAAAAAAAATATATACATGTGTGGTCTTTTCCAGAGATTTATGACAGATAATAGTGTTATAATGCCACCATTGATAAATTTTAAAAATGTATGTTTTGAAACCGCAATCTCCTACTTGTACTTATAGCCCTATAACATGCAAAAAAAAGCACGTAAACACTGGGTATTTTTAAACTAGGACACAATTTCTAATCTATTTAGCAGTTGTTTTTTCATTAGCTTTTATAGATGAGTAAAAGATTTTTCAAGTAAAAGTAAAAAAAAATTATTTTTTCAATTTTGCATCATATTTTTTTTAAATTAAATTACATGAGATTATATAAATAATGGTATGTAAAGAAATCCCTTTTTGTCCTTAAAAAAACAATATATAATTTGTATGGGAACAGTAAACGAGAGAGCAGAAATTTACAGCTAAACACAAACACCACTAAAGTGTAAAAAGAGGCCTGGTCGCAAATGTACAACATCGCAAAAACAGTCCGGTCCTTAAGGGGTTAATTGTGGTAGCCGACAAAATATTGGGACATACAAAAAAAGAAACATTTGTGGTATGCGGTGCATTTCTTGCAGTCCTGATGCATGGAGAAATGCTCAACTCCTGATGCATGGAGAAAAGGCCTTCACAAGCCTCTGCTAATGTGTACCTAGTTTATACTAAGTGACCCATAAGTTGAGGAGGCGGTGACCGTGGTGGTGTAGGTTGAGGCATTGTTGGAGGAGGAGGATGAGGTATCCAACACTGTTTTTTATGGTTTTTTTTGTTGTTTTTTTTTAATTGTGGTAGCCCACAAAATATTGGTACATACAACAAAAGAAACATGTGTGGCCTGCGATGCATTTCTTGCAATCCTGATGCATGGAGAAATGCTCAACACCTGATGCATGGAGAAAAGGCCTTCACAAGCTTCTGCTAATGTGTACCTAGTTTATACTAAGTGACCTATAGGTTGAGGAGGCGTGACCGTGGCGGTGGAGGAGGAGGATGAGGTAGCCAACACTGTATTATATTTTAATTGGGGTAGCCCCCAAAATATTGGGACATATAAAAAAAAGACAACTCTGTTCCGCAGAGTAGTTGTTGACATTATAGTTGCGCAGGCACTTTGTTGACTCTAGAGAACCTATGGCCAATCGCACATTCCCGTGGCGGCGACTTTGCATGCGGATGTCATCCATATCAACTTTTGATGCCAGTTTCTGCGCCTACCATAGTGACCACGGGTAACGGGGAATCAGGGTTCCTTTCCGTACAGGGACACTGAGAAACGGCAAGGGAGGCAGCAGGCGCGCAAATTATCCACTCCCGACGCGGGAAGGTAGTGACGACAAATAACAATACAGGCCCTGTAATTGTAATGAGTCCACTTGAAATCCTTTAACTCTGATCAATTGGAGGGAAGTCTGGTGCATAGCCACTGACCCGTGCATGCTGCAGCTGAAACTCCACTATTGCCTGCTGCTGCTCGCACAGCCTCATGAGGCGGTGAGCGAGAAGGCTGAAGTTATGCTGCAGTGCAGACAGGCGAGCAGAAGCAGGGTGACAATGCCAAAAGTGCGCACATCCACTACAGTGAATGTCACATCCTGTAATAAGTTGCGGATCAGTCTGGTGATGGCTTCTGGTATCAAGTACTCTTTTTACTAAAGCTGCATCCGGGTCCAGGTATGTGGCGGCACAAACGCTGGTGCTCAACACCAGGGGGCGTGCAGTTACCCTGCATCTGACCCTGCTAATCCATTCCACACTGTGACTCCTAACTTCTACATCAGGCATTCTGGGTCCCGGTCGTCCGACCGCCGCCCAGACAGAGTCTGGGTCCTGGTCACTGAACTGCCCACCTCACTGTGAAACTACGAATGGACCGTTAAATCTGGTACAAACCCAAACTTTGCAGTTCGGGTTCGCTCAACTCTATTATGGATCCTTTGATCGCTACATGTATTACTTGGATAACTGGTAATTCTCGAGCTAATACATGCCAACGAGCGCTAGGGGACGGCTGCTCCGCTTTTGCACCCTGCTCCCTCTTATGCTGTGCTGGTGCCTCTGTGCGACCAGCGCTTCTTCCTCCAAACTGCACACGTCACTCGCATGACCTTGATTCCATGTGGGATCTAGGACCTCATCATCCTCCACATCATCTTCCGCCCACTCCTCAACCCTGCCCTCCTTGCCAGTATGCACACTGCAGAAAGTGCAGTGCAGAAACTGCAGTTTGCACCTGTGTTTTTCCAGCCTGTGTTTTTCCAGCAAGTCTGCAAAGGACACATGATGACAGGTTACTGATTGCACAAGGTTTGAATTCCTGTTGGTAATTATAAGGCATTTGATTTGATTAAAGGACCACTCTAGGCACCCAGACCACTTCAGCTTAATGAAGTGGTCTGGGTGCCAGGTCCTTCTAGGGTTAACCCATTTTTTCATAATTATAGCAGTTTCAGAGAAACTGCTATAATTATGAATGGGTTAAGCCTTCCCCCTAATCCTCTAGTGGCTGTCTCATTGACAGCCACTAGAGGCGCTTGCGTGCTTCTCACTGTGAAAATCACAGTGAGTGCACGCCAGCGTCCATAGGAAAGCATTGTAAATGCTTTCCTATGAGACCGGCTGAATGCGCGCGCAGCTCTTGCCGCGCGTGCACATTCAGCCGGCGGGCGTAACGGAGGCGGAGAGGAGGAGGAGAGCTCTCCGCCCAGCGCTGGAAAAAGGTACGTTTTTACCCCTTTCCCCCTTACAGAGCCGGGCGGGAGGGGGTCCCTGAGGGTGGGGGCACCCTCAGGGCACTATAGTGCCAGGAAAACGAGTATGTTTTCCTGGCACTATAGTGGTCCTTTAAGCAAGTTACTTTCTATTGATTGCTGGGTAATTAGCTATTGTTTGGAAATAAGTAGAGGCCTACCCAGGTGTTAAACATTCCTAGTGGGTGGTGATTTTAGGAGTTATATAAGGCTTGTTGTCATTAGCTTGTCTAATATAGCTTGGTGCTACTTCTAAGTGCTGTTTCTAAGTGTGTAGTTGGAGATATTCTGGAGAGTCTTACAGAAGCTTCAACTGTCTAAGAGTTGTGCTAAGAGCTTTCTTTTCTACTGTTACAGGTAAGATTCATCTGTAGGAAAAGGTTACTGATTGCACAAGGTTATAATTCCTGTTGGTAATTATAAGGCATTTGATTTGATTAAGCTAGTTACTTGCTATTGATTGCTGGTTAATTAGCTATTGTTTGCAAATAAGCAGAGGCCTACCCAGGTGTTAAACATTCCTAGTGGGTGGTGATTTTAGGAGTTATATAAGGCTTGTTGTCATTAGCTTGTCTAATATAGCTTGGTGCTACTTCTAAGTGCTGTTTCTAAGTGTGTAATTGGAGATATTCTGGAGAGTGTTGCTTCTAAGTGTGTAGTTGGAGATATTCTGGAGAGTGTTGCTTCTAAGTGTGTACTTGGAGATATTCTGGAGAGTGTTGCTTCTAAGTGTGTAGTTGAAGATATTCTGGAGAGTGTTGCTTCTAAGTGTGTAGTTGGAGATATTCTGGAGAGTGTTGCTTCTAAGTGTGTAGTTGGAGATATTCTGGAGATAAACTGGAGGTAATCTGAGGTATTCAGGAGGATAAATACAAAGTTAAGATTTGTTAGATTTAAATTATTCTCCTAATTGGAATGGCAGACTTAGTTCAGTGTAACAATTGCTATGCATTTGTTTCACGTTCTACTTTTTGGAGATTTGATTGTTGTCTAATATGTAGACAGTTCACTATCTTGCGGCAGGAGATTGTATATTTGAAGTCTGAGATTTGTAAATTATCTGGTGAACAAACTCAGACTGGAACTGCTGCAAAGCCACTGCCGCAGAGACATACTAGGAATGGCAGATGGATTACTGTAGGATCTGGTAGACTTAGAGTTGTGGATAAAGGGCATTTTGCACAGTCTGTTGCTCTTCATAATTCATTTTCTGCACTTTCAGAGTGTAATGGTGTTGTGGAGAGAGGCACTGAGGCTAGTGGTGTTGTGGAGAGAGGCTCTGAGGCTAGTGGTGTTGTGGAGAGAGGCACTAAGACTAGTGGTGCTGTGGAGAGAGGCACTAAGACTAGTGGTGTTGTGGAGAGAGGCACTGAGGCTAGTGGTGTTGTGGAGAGAGGCACTGAGGCTAGTGGTGTTGTGGAGAGAGGAACTGAGACTAGTGGTGTTGTGGAGACCGGCTTGGAGACTATGCTGAGGCCTAATAGAAAGCAGTTGTTGTTGGTGGATTCCATTATAAGAGGTGTGGAGATGGACAATGGTGGTCTTGTGAGGTGTCTTCTCGGAGCTACTGCTCACAAAGACAGGAGATGTATCTGTAATATTGTTAAGCAAGCAAAGCAGGAAGGGGAATTGGATGTACTTGTCCATCTAGGGACAAATGACTTGGCTTGCAATGAGGTTTCAGAGGTTAAGGAAGTTTTTAGTGTTTTTGCCAATGATATACGGCAGGTTGCTTCCACACTGTCATTCTCTGAAGTTCTGCCTGTGCATAATACTCAGAACGACAGGTGGATGCGTATTAGGGACTTTAATTTGTGGCTTGGTGTATGGTGTCGGGAGCAAGGATTTGGCTTTATTTCTCATGGTAGCTCTGTTTGGAATGGAGATAAGCTGTACAAAAAAGATGGTTTGCATCTTTTTCAAAAGGGAACAAATGTCCTCAGTGAGCAGTTCAGAGGTTTTGCTAGGATGTATTTAAACTAGGAGAGGGGGGCAAAAGGGTGATAAAACATCAATCCAATTGTCCCCCAAAACAAGGACAGAAGGTGCCTGTAGCAAGTGTGTTAAAAAATGATAAGCTTAGAGTCATTTCTACAAATGCTCGCAGTTTAGGGAATAAGATCCATGATCTATGGCAATAATGGCAACTGATAGTGTAGATTTAGTCGCTGTTACTGAGACATGGTACAAGGAGAAAAATGACTGAGACATAGCAATACCAGGGTACTCTTTATATAGGAAAGATAGGGAAGGCAAGAAAGGGGGAGGGGTGGCCTTGTATGTGAAGGATAGCATAAAATCTAGCCCAAGAAAAGTTAGTGAGGCAAACATAGAGTCCGTTTGGGCTATGTTAGAATTTGGTAATCACACAGTAACTCATGAAGGTGTGATTTATAGGCCCCCTGGACAAATTGAAGAGTTAGATAATCTACTAGTTGAGGAAATAGCTAAAATGACAATGAAGGGGGAAGTTATCATCATGGGTGACTTTAATCTTCCTGATGAAAATTGGAAAACAAAATTAGGTACTTGTGCCAGGAACACATATTCTAAACTCCCTACTAGGATTGTCTCTAAAACAAGTTGTTGAGGAGCCAACTCATAAAGAGGCCATACTAGATTTAGTGTTAACAAATGGAGATTTGGTATCAGATATTACTGTAGGTGAAAGTTAAGGATCCAGTGATCATCAGACAGTGTGGTTTAATATAAGAACAGTGACTGAGTCACACCACACAAAAACAAAAGTTTTAGACTTTAGAAAAGCAGACTTTTCTAAAATTAGAATATGGGTAGAGGAGTCATTATCAGACTGGAGCAATTTAAATGGAGTCCAAGAGAAATGGGATTATTTAAAAGTTGCACTATTGAAGGCAACAGAAAATTGCATTAGGCTTGTCAGTAAAAGCAAAAAATTCAAGAAACCACTGTGGTACTCCGCAGATGTGGCCAAAATAGTTAAAAACAAAAAGTTAGCATTTAGGAATTATAAAAAAAACCAGAGTGAGGAAGACAAAATGATCTATAAGATTAGGCAGAAAGAGGCTAAGCAAGTTATAAGAGCTTCCAAATCACACACAGAAGAGAAAATAGCACAGTCAGTAAAAAAGGGGGATAAAACATTTTTTAGATACATAAATGAGAAAAGAAAAGTAAAACAAGGATTAGTTAGATTAAAAACAAAATAAGGAATGTATGTAGAAGTGGATAAAGGTCTAGCTGACTGCCTCAATTAATATTTTTGTTCTGTATTTACAGAAGAAAATTAAGGAAAGGGACCTCAGTTGAGAAAAAGGATAAATGAGTCATTTATTACACGTGAAAGAGGAAGAGGAAGAGGTTCTATTTCAACTGTCAAAAGTAAAGACAAATAAGTCAATGGGACCTGATGGAATACACCCAATGCTATTAAAAGAGCCTAGTGGTGTACTAGCAAAACCATTAACAGATTTATTTAATCAATCATTGTTAACAGGAGTAGTCCCAGAAGATTGGAAGTTAGCGAATGTTGTGCCCATTTACAAGAAAGGTAATAGGGAGGAGTCGGGCAACTATAGGCCAGTAAGCCTTACTTCAGTAGTGGGGAAAGTGATGGAAACCATGTTAAAGGATAGGATTGATGAACATCTAAAAACACATGGATTTCAAGATCAGAGACAACATGGGTTTACTTCAGGGAGATCATGCCAAACTAATCTTATTGATTTTT